TCTCTCTCTCTCTCTCTCTCTCTCTCTCTCTCTCTCTCTCTCTCTCTCTTCCTATATATATATATACATATATATATGTGTGTGTGTGTGTGTGTGTATGAGAACTGTATATAAAAGCTAACACTTTTTCCCAGAGAGACTGGGCTGGTTCATGTGGGTATGCAGAGCACACTCTCCATTTCTTTCAGCCTCATTTAGCCATTAGAACATATGTCTTGCTCTTAGTCCCGTGTCACACTTGCCTCTTGTCTCATCATTCTGTCCTGATGCCTAGATTGTTTCATCCCTATCAACTTCTGCTTCATTTCCTTCCAATCCTTTCTGTGAAGGTTCTGGGGATTGTTTTATACATGAAGATATCTATTCAGCCCTAGGAAATCAGGTTCTATAGGAACAAAAGCACAGCCACTTATGACTACAAGCACATCTGGCCTCAGGGGCTCCCAGCATCTGCATCTTTCTCCCACCATAACATAATACAAGGCTGATGGTGTCACCTTCCTTAATGGTAGATTATATATATCTATATATCTATATCTATATCTATATCTATATCTATATCTATATCTATATCTATATCTATATCTATAATCATATATATATATCATTATATATCGATATATATCAATATATATCAATATATATATTTCATATATATATATGAAATAATATGTGTATCAGTTAGCTAGACTACATGTGGGCTGTTTACTCCAGTGACTAGCTATCATTTACTAAGAAAATGGCCGTGTTCTCTTTTGAGAAAGTCCTTCAGAAATTCAGGGTGAATTATCCTATGAGAAACATGCCCTTGCATCAGTGAGAGAAGTTAAGGATAAACTTTCTAATGAAAGTTTTAAAAGTTACTTTCAGCAGGAACTCTGGATGTGAGTTAAAAATAAAAAGAAATTTGTTTCACCAAACTTTTTTATAGTTTGATTATTGTAAATACTGAGTGTGTGGAGGATTATTCAGGCATGGTCTGTGCTAAAGAATCAGAAAGGCTGGAGGACCACAGAAGAGCTGATGCTAGGAGCAGAGACAGGATTGGGGAAGAAGATGATCCTGAGGTCATAGCTGCATATTAGAATGGCTCAAGTTCTATTAAATAATTGAGTTGCATGTTCGCATGAGAATAAGCAAAATGGCAGAGTTTTGTTCCCTGTTGCACCTTGGAGGGCTCCAATATAAAGTGAGCAAACCTTCTATGCTCTGCCTTCAATTACTGCTTAGAATGCACTTTGACCTGACAAACAAATGGGACATTTCACAGAAACCAGGAGAGCCTAGAGGAAAGCCATGTATTCCCTCTAACAGCACACTGGAGCTTCTGCTCTATGATACCCCTTCTATCAAACAATAGAGCCAGCTGTGGAAGTGCACTCACAGAGCCGCAGTCCTTTCCAGCTAGAAGCCTTAGGAAAGTTACAGCAAAATACAAATCTAGGTTATTTTCAAAGTAAATAGAATTCAAGCTAAAATAGAATTCCCTTCACTTTCATTTGTGCAGAGGCCTCAATAAAGTATAAATAGTTTCCTAGGGGAATTATCAGCATGTAGAACAAATGAATATGTTTCAATTGTCGGAAAGGAGAGCAGTGGACAAAAGGGTGAAGTTAAGGAGAGAAGTGAAGAGGACATTAAAAATAAAAACAAGGGTGAGCAACAGAGAAAGGGAAAAGACAGCGAGGGAATGACTCCAGGTACTAGGATATTTTGCATACATTAATTATCAAATTTAATTTCACAGGTCAAGTCTGCTGGGAACTGAGTTCTATAATTACATCCACTTTGGCAAGGACAACTAGAGTTTGAGAAGCTATGTTACCTAAATCTCATCATTAGCTAAAATTGGAGTCAGACCTCCATCACAATCTACACAGCATCAAATCTCATACTACCAAGCACATTTAAGTACAGGGGTCCAAATTATTTCCATCCATGCCTTAACTACCTACAATAGGCATACTGTTCTGAATCTGGAGGCCACCAGAACACCCCCCAAAACTTGCTTTCTTAGGAAGGAATAATTTTGAGATGTAAACTTTGGCTGAGCCTTTTATATATTGTATGTAAATAGAAGAAAAAAATGATTTTAAGAAGATTCCTTCTCTCTCTTCTCAACCCTACTTTCATGTCTATGGAAAGCTGATACAGTTGTGGTTCTCACAGAAAAAAGATGAGAAATATACACGCCCTTGAAGAAGAGGTTAAAGAAAAA